CTACGGGAGATACGCGTAGACTGGCAAAATAGCATTCTCGAGCAGCCTTCTGATCGGCATGGATTGTAAGGATCTGCCCCTTGTTGGATGGGAACTTCATTGCCAAGTGCGGTGTCGAGACAATTGCACCTAGCATGTTCAACGATGGTCGTCCGAGGAGGATGTTGTAGGAGGTGTTAGCATCAACCACGATATATTTTATCTGAATTTCCCTGCTTTCCTGTTCGTCAAAACAAAAGCGGGTGAGAAGTTTAATGTATCCTTTGGTGCTTACCCTTTCACCTGCAAAACCGACCAGTGGATCATCATAAGGGATTAACTCCTTTTCCGAAATACCCAACTGTTTGAAGGTATTCCAATATAGGATATCCGCCGAACTGCCCTGGTCAACCAGTGTTTTCTTGACGATGCAATTGTGAATTTCTACACTGATCACCATTGGATCATCCTGCACGGGGTCGATGCCTTGAAAGTTGGCATCAGTGAAGGTTATGGTTGGCAATCTTCGTGAGTGCTGTCTTTCAACAGCGTGAACCGACCGAATAGCGCGCAAGTGTCTCTTTTGTGCTGAGGAGGTCGAACCACCCCCGACAAATCCTCTTGTGATTGTATTAATCACCCTCCTTTGAACGGCCGAGGGATCGTCCTTCCTATCGCGAGACCTGCTTCGGCCTCGCCGTGTCCTTTCTGAGCTATCATGCCGATGCCGATCCTGGTGTCGCGGCTGATATGCTGAGCGAGGTCGAGATGAGCCTGACCGATCGACGAAGCTGTGAAGCTGTCCCTGCTTGATCAAATCTTCTATTTTATCTTTAAGGGCAGCACACTCTTCGGTAGAATGTCCACGGTTACGGTGGTATCTGCAAGACTTGCTGGTATCGGCTCGTGGTGGGGTAGAGGCCCTCTTCGGGATTGCTAGCACTTCAGATGTCAGGGCTTGCTCTAACACCGTTGCCCTGCTGGCGTTCAGGGGGGTGTAATGAGAGTATTTCAGACCTCGAGTGGGTCGGTCTCGCAGTGTTATGTCTTTGCCTTTCCCCCTGAATGGTGGTTCCGATTGCTTTTCGGCCTTGCCCCCTGATTCAGCACGGGCCTGACTGCGGTATTCGGCCAACTCTTCCATTTGCATATACTTGTCGGCTCTCCTTCGTAAGTCGTTCATGTCCGAAGGAGGTTTTTTACAAATGCTATTAACGAACGGCCCTGGCTTCAGTGCCGTTGTGAGGTGATGGAGTGCTACGGCCGGGTTGAGGTCTCTGATTTCCAATGCTGTTTTGTTAAAACGATCCATGAAGGTCCGAAGGGATTCCTTCTTGTCCTGCCGAAGGCTCACCAATGAAAGAGAGGTCAAACTGTGGGGACGGCTCGTTGCGAACTGGATGGTAAACTGTGATGACAAGGTGTTGAATGAGTCGATTGAGTTAGGAGGTAGCCGAGTTAACCAACTCAAAGCCCTGCCTTTGAGAGACGTTGGGAAGATCCGACACAAAGCCGCATCATCTGTGGTGCTCAAGGTCACCTGCGTGAGAAAAATATCAAGGTGCTCATCAGGGTCAGTTGTACCGTCATATTTATCAATCGGCAAAGACTTCCAATTATCCATCAAAGGTAACTGCATGATAGACGGTGTAAACGGGTGTCGGTGTGATCCCACTGTTGCTACGTCGGTTGGACGTCCAACAGTAGGAAGGGCCGACTGGAACTTTTCAGGTGCAGCAGCCGAAGCGTGAAGGGCCGAGGTACGGAAGTCATGAGAGTGATAGGATCCTTGTGTTTGAGTATTGGTGGGCTGGGTAGGTTTCCATGAGGGATCCTGATTTTTTAACGCCTCGTTTTCAGCTCTCAAGGCCGAAAGTTCCTTTGCATCCCTCTCCCGCTGTTGTTTCATTGCGGCCATCTCCTGCCTGAGCAGACGCACGGCCTCGGAGAGATCAGTTTCGTCTTCAACTTCTACGTGTTCCTCCTCCTCGGTTTGGTGATTTTCTGTGTTCATTCTCCTTGTCTTCGTCATTGCCTTGTTCGTCGAACTTCACAAGTATCTCGGTTCGGCCCCACGGTGGGCGCCAAAATGTACCTGCCGAAGGGTACACTAGTAATCTTCTCGTGTTCTGAAGGCCGAACGAGAGCTCCGATCGAATACTCCGGTGATGGGGAGGTACCTGCAAAAGGCACTCTGATGCTCAAGTCAGGACAAAGCACAAATATCGATAGCAATTAATGAACAGTGACGTTACCTTGTGACATGAGCTATTTATATTGACCCTTATGGGCCCGGATTCCCATGGGCCCTGCACAAGATTACCATATTAGGTAATACGCCTCTAATCGGCTTATTAGTGTGATTAACTCTTAACCCTTGATTAAGGATGACTCTTGTCCCTTGATTAATGATAATTCACATTCACTAGGTATCCAATGGTCGATCAGCCGTCGGCAACCTGGCTCGGTCCTTTGGGTGCCGATTGGATGTCGGCAACCTGGTTCGGCCCTTTAGGTGCCGATCGGGTATCGGTCAAATGGTGGCCGAAAGGCCTTGCCAGTACAGGGAACATTTGCACTCTCTCTATGTCCAAAGTCCAAAAAATGAAAAAGTTACTTCAAGATACTTGCATTTGACGTGAAAAATCACGTCATTGATTCATTTTCAAACATGCTCATAATTGATTATGTGGTTATTATGAAAAACATACACTACAAGTCTATAATATAAGATAACATTTGCTATTTTGTATAATCAACTATATTATCAAGAAATCTTCATGTATATGTGAAAAATATAGTCATAGTTAAATAATAATTGTGCAAATGATTTATTTTTACATAAATCTTTAAATATATAAAATACAATTTAAAATACCTAAATACATCAAATATTATATTAAAGGCTTATTATTAACTTCTTCAATCATTGTTGCCATCTAGTGAAAAAGGAAACTAAAAGTGGATCTAAAAGTTACCTCTTTTAGCGAATATTCAATTCTTTTTATAGGAGGTATGTCAAAACTCAATCTTCACAAGAGGAACTCTTTTACAATGACACATCACTAATGTGGATACTTGTCCTCGCTATTGTGAAGTAGTGAAATAGATTCACACTCATTTATTTGAGTGTCAGTTAATTCGATAAGTTTGGCATTCTTTGAGTTTAGTTTCTCCCTTGCCACTAGTGGGCAATGTGATAACAATGGAATGGTTGAAAGGGCATATAGGCTTGCATGGAATGATTATATCATTTTTGTTATGGGTCACATGGAAGTCTCAAAACAAGGTGGTATTTAATGTGGTTCTAGATGCATTGCCTATCCTTATATCTAAGGTGTACATGGAGCATAATGCATGCAAGATGGCATTTTAGAAGGGTAGCCTGGAAAACATGCAAAATACCTTGCTACATCTATTGGTTTGGGAAGCACCGACTCTATCCTGGGTAATGCTAAATGTAGATGGTAGTACACCCCAAAATCCAAGTTGTGTTAGGTTTGGAAGCTTAGTATGAGACTCAGATGGCCATTTCAAACAATACTCATACAAAAATTATGGCTCTTGTCAATGAGTTAGAGTTGTGTTGGGATAAATGTTTCTCTCATATCAAGTGTGAGTCAAACTCTCATATTTGGTGTAGCTTGTCCACGGGGGTACAAATCATAAACATCGTTATGCAAATGAGGTTGCGCATATCTAAGAACTGATAGGTAGATCATGGAACTACTCTCTTACTCATGTGTTTTGAGAAGGAAAATTCATTAGATGGACTTGACATCAAATACTCCCTTAGTGATTCTTGAAGAACCACAAGTTGCTCTTCAATTGTTATTAGTTACATATGTGTTGAAGACTCCTTATTTTCACTTGTAGTGGTTGATGTGCTTTTTGTGTGTGTGTGTGTGTTTTTTTTTTTTCTTTTTACTTTCTTGATTTTCTTTATTTTTTGTCACAAAAAAATATAATTTAAAAATTTTTTTTCTTCTATTTTTTTTTTCCTAATTCCATAATGCAAAAAAAAATTACAAATTCTACTCATTTCCCACCCATTCTCATCAAACCATTTATCATTTATTCTCTATTTTTTATTTCATATTTCTTTCTTCTACCAAACAAAACATTAGTGTAAAACATCAATTTCAGTAGACACATTAACAAACATCCATCTAATCAGAAACCAATTTATTGAAGAAAACAATTTTAAAAAACTTTTTTTTTAGTTTACCATCTTCCAAAACCAAATTTTAACCACCACACTTTCAGAGGTTAATATAATAATTTAACCCGTAATTCATTTACTGAGTGTTTCCCTCGCACCAAACAATCACCATTTTCTAAATTATCATTGATTTACTCTTCTTCGTCCTTCCTCTGTTTCTTGCCCATGTCACTGCCACCCAAACGTGTATAAAGATATATTCTAAATACAAAAATAAAAAGGCATGCAATTAAAATTTAGATTTAGGGCAAAGACAGCACTGTAGAATGTAGATCGACAAAAATATCATGCTTACCAGTTACCACCTACCCGCTGAATCGGTTACGGCGCGGTTTTAGCCACAATATCTAACACAATTAGCAATCCAGAATATCACGCAACATTTGTTCCACAAATTCCCCAAAATACCCTCAAAAAATCGAGAATCCCCAAAAATACGCCAATGGCTAATTTGGCATTAATTTATTTATAGCACGAATCCACGATTCATCGCGAAACACGGCGTCATCCCCAAATCCAAAAAAAAAAAAAAAAAAAAAAAAACCCCAGAAAA